ATAAGCATCACAGCCCCATAACATTTTATTCCTGGAGCATTTTTATTTGCAAAACAAAATCTGCACGAGGACAAGAAAACACAAAAAGGCAACGTATCTCTCATTGGAAATGTGGGGCAAGACAGCAGAATTTGAGATTAGCCACAAGCCCACAGAAAAAGGAGGCAGAAACTGCCATACCAGAGCAGGAGAACAGTCCCTCCAATCAGTTTGGAGGAAAAGCGATAACTAAAATCCAAGGCACCTTGTTAATTGTGTGATAGTACTGAAAATACAGTATCAACTTCCTGTATAATTTGATAGAAGTATTAATTATAGAGCCATTCATTTAGGAATCTAGAAGTGTGCTAACAAATTAATCTTCACAGCCAGAAAAGAGCCTAAAATCCCCATTTTACAGACAGGAAAAGAGAAGCACATGGGGCAAAAGGACTTGCCTAATGTCACAAAATGAAGCTGCGATAGATCCACAACAAATATCCAGCTCCTGTTCCCACATGTGCACCTGCAGAATTGCCCTCAGATTCTCCGAGTCTCTGGGATGCTAGCACGCTGCTGTCTCTTGGAGTGCCCATACTACTACTGTACTTAAGCCACGCAGTTTTCAATTCTGTGCTGCTTCTGCAGCACCTGACAGTTAAATGACAGAAAAGCACAATGCAAACTGTTAAAAATTAAATATTCAGTCTTTTGAGTTTTCTGGGTGAATACTTCCTACAAGGAGCTCTTTTTAAACATTACGTACTGTATCAGAGCTTAAAAACCAATTGTCCACAAGTCAAAGAGAGACCAAGGATGTTGGTATGTGAAACTGGCAAGATCACAACCGAGACACCAAGATTCAAGATGCATTTTTTTGAAAATCTGATGACCTTATAAAGTGTCAGCACATGTTATTTTGGGGGATACTTTCTAGCCAAACAGATCAGACAGATGTTTGTGAATAAAAGACCAACATTAATGCAAACAGGAGAGTTTCAAAACGTGAAGTAAAAGGTTTGGAAGCAGGTGTTCTTGGCTTCTCGCTGATCACACAGCTCACAAAACTGTTACCATAATATATGACTTTGAAAATGAAACACTATTATCCTGCACTACAATCCTAAGCAAATCTCTGTACAGAAAAATCAGAGCAAAAGGTGAACACCCAGTTCAATGGAGAGGGACACAGCCATACAGGGAAGACAAAAGCAACTGAGAAGATTTACTTCCGCACCCTCTTTAGTGCCAGGTTGCACCGTCTCCCCTCCTAGTTTTCTGTAATGCTTTGTGTTTTATTCACAAATCCACCAATTCCTCTTAACACTGATTTAAAATAATATCCACAGGTGGGCTGTTTGCAGCACTCACTCGTGGCCTTACTCAGTTCTGCTTATGCACAGAAAAAAATGGGTGTCAGGGAAAAATCAAATGGAGCAAAGGCAAAGGATTAGGATGCTGTGGTTGGAAAGGAGACGGTTATACAGCCACACTCGATCAAGCTCTTTGTTTTTAAATTAGCTCTGTGGCACGTCTCTTCCCTTCTGCATATGCCTGGAGGAGGGACCCTCATGAGGAGAAGAGCTCTCATTATTTCTGTCATGAGGCGCAGGTGCAGGAGCCAGCACAGGTGTGTGCTGGAAAGGTGCCAAGAGGAGAGGCACCTCACTTAAATACATCAGAGGGACATTATTCCCACTCTCCATGTGACTGACGCTCTAATGGTTCCAGCTTTGGCAGTGGTGGATTAGCATCCGCAGCAATGAGGGGAAGAGCAAGAACAAAGCCTCGCTATGTCGTCTCATCTTTTCCCCCACAAACATGCTTTGGAGTGTCAGAAGTGACAAACACACAGATGTCTGTTATCCAGACTGAGGTGGGCAGCTTCTCCAGGGCCTGTAGAAGTACCGCCTCTCCAGGACTGGATGTATGCCAGGGCTGAAGGCTGCACAATTACATTTGGGATAAATCCTTTCATTATGGGATAAATCCTGAAGGAACAGTGGAAGTGGTGCTTGAATTGCATGGAGGGTGGCTTTGGGCATCCTTGCCTGCCATAGAGCTTGGAAGGGGACTGGGATGCATAGATACAGACTGATCCACTCACATCTACATAAACCGGTACAGAGGTGGCCCCAGCAAGAAGATTACACCTTATGTTCTTTACTGAGCTAACAAGTCTTGTCAAAGTCATTTTGATACGCACTCTTAAGTCTTGAAAGTACAGGCTCCAGACCAGACTGGTTTTGGCCAAATCAGATCTCAATCTCATTACAATCTGGTGTTCGTGTTTAAATACTAAAGGAGACTCCGTTGAGAGCCCATAACACTTTAGAAAAGTTCCGGGCTTGTGAATCACTCCTACAGGGATTGATTTTTTTTTAAGTGTCATAAACAGTACACAGAAGGACACTGTTTTGTTATTTTATTTTTAAAAGCTCGTTTGTGTTAGCCTGGCAAACAGATTATCTGCTCTGCAACATACACAACTCAGCAGGAGGAGCAGATGTTCTTTCAAGTCTCAGACAGGCTACTTCAAGTTACTTATTCGAACCAATGATGAAATGAGCCTCTTCAACCCTATTCATGAGATGCTGGAGAGTAGGTTTTCCAGCAGTGCCAGGGTTTGAAGTGTGCCTTGGAAAAGGCTCCATTTGTTTATTTTACAATGAAATCTCCTCAACAGATATCAATATCTCTAATACAATCAAACATCATTACTAAGTGAGGGGACAGCTGACCATAAGGGATCACACTGCTAAAGAAAATGCCCATTTCACTTTTACAAAAGGGTCAAATAACGTTTTTAAACAAAGCCGCAGCCTTCACACATCTCCAAACACGCGCCATCTGCAGTGACTAATGGGTACTTCAGGAAAGGGAACTCAAGTACTCAGTTTTGTCAGCTGCTTCAAAGCTTACAACACGGTTGCAAAAAGGATCTCCGCATGTGAGCTTTGTCTCTAAAGCAATAAACCAGATGTGATATTCTTTTAACGGTAACGCACTGCTGCTGCAATGGAGGAACTGCCCTACCACACCTGTGTGGGGCTGGACCAGGAAGCAGCGATGGCAGGAGGGAGCACCTTGCTAAAGGCTGGTCTGACAAGATGGGCTGCCACGAGGCTGCTGCTGCTTCCATTGGCCACCTGAGAGTGCAGACAGCCATGCCACCCCCATGGACAGGACACAGGCAATGCCACCTACTTGGGCTTCCCCCACCTTGGACATCCTCGCCTGCCATCCCCACATCCGCATTTCTCTCTTGCATGGAGCAAAAGAGGGGGTCCCACTGCCTGTATTTCCAAAGGGTGCCAATAAGTACAGAAAAGTTATGATATCTAGAAAGGCTGACAGCCACTGCTTTAGAGGAAAAGGAAAAAACACCCATTGTCTTTAACAGCAATCTGATAAGCTTCCATGGCATAATGGAATATAGGTACTTCTATTTTAATTCTGTCTACATATATGGTTATGGCTACCTTGTGCTATGGAAATGTACTAGCCCAAGGACAACTAAGCACCATGATTTTGGAAACTTAAGATGTGGTTCACTTGCAACTTTGCAGAAAACACATATGGTTTGATGCTTTTGAGACTGTCCAGATTGGTTTCAAAGTGGGACCTTATATTTGGCCTATGTTCATTACCTAAGACTGGCCTGCCTGTGATAAAGCCAACATGCTTTTCCATATGCCACATTCTAAGATTGTTGCATAGAGCAATTATTTTACAATTCACCCAACCAGTTATTCTAATCCAATTGCACAATTAATTTTTGTATCCCCTTACCCTGGCTCTCTTCATCCAATCCATCATCATCCCATTGCTCTTCATTTGCTAGCAGTGGATTTCGAGCTTCACATAAAGTTCTCATTGGAAAAGAATGTCCATCACCCTGGCTGTAAAATACAAAGGGTAGAAAATGAGCTACCACAGAACCACTTCTTCTGAAAAATGAAGTACAACTCTACTATGCATTTATGATTTTTCTCACAAAAACAAAGAAAATTCTTACATTTCTGGAAACTAATTTTAAAGGATGAATTATATTAAGAAAACAATGGGTTCATCTTGGGTGGAAGCTCATAGGCAATGTTTAAGGACCAAAGAGAGTTGCAATCTTGAATTCAGGCAAAAGCTAAGAAGGAAAATCTTTACAGTTCAAAATCATTCCTGATGTAACTCAGATGGAACTGAAACTGGCCAGATTACCCAGATAAATAATGAAGTATGGGGAAAAAAGATATGCAAAAATATTCAGCTATAAAATGAATTACTGCCCCCTACTTCATCCTAACCAGGTGCAGACAACGATTTTAGGAAAAGTGGGAAGAGTCTGAATGAACTGGACACAGAACATCAGATCAGCAAACAGGTCCCCACCCTTTAATTGCTAATTTATGAGTATTTTCCAATGACAGTCACAATAAAGACAAAGTCTATGCTATGTCAAGGCATGACATAGGGAGGAAGCCTAAGGGAATAACAGTGATACAATGGAAATGAATTACAAATGCTTGAGTTTGGGCTACACCTGACTGGATTTCCTGGACATCCTGCAGCAAGTACTGGCCACCTAAGATACAATCCTCCTCTGACAACTATCTCTACCCAAGGAAAATAATCGAGGAATTTTCCGTGCCAGTCAGAGTGTGTCCCAGGTCATAGTTCTGTGGTGAGCACCCTATGCTCTGCACTCCCCATTGCTGCTGGACACTAGTATGCCAACATGTCTGATCTTTTTAATCCATCCCTGGCTTTGAGAACAGGAAGGAGAGGGAAATAGCTGGTGCAGTTGAGGTCTTAGCTTAGTTCACCAGCACAAGGTCAAGACAGTTGCCTGATAAAGCTGGAATCCAGAGAATTGTTTTAAACTGAGCCCAACTATTCTGGGAACTGGCCTCCAGTTTATTCTTGGATCAATGTGTGTGGTACAAAAGCAAAGTGTTTCACTAGTTAATGTAGGGACAAACCCTGCCAGTCAAGGGAGGCCAGGACAGTTTTTAAAGAGTGAGTGTGTGTACAAGTATGTGTGCAGAAGCAGAGTCCATACGGAAGGTGTGGACCCTCTGTACCCCAGGAA